TGTGTTAGAGACTTTGGTTGTTAAGTACCTCAGTTGTGATGTGATGGTATAACTCTGTGATTATTGTGATACCTTACGGGTCAAAAGGATAACGAGAAAGGCTCACATAGCAAGCCTGTCTAGATGAGTGTGCTGACACATGCTTGTAATCCCAGCTTCCAGGAGGTGGGGGCAGCAATTTTTCTGAGTTTGAGAATGCCTTCAGCTTGAGGATACCATAGGGAAATCTATCTCAAAAACCAAAAAGAGAGAAGAAAGGAAAGCATAAAGAAAAGAAGAAGAGAGAATGTCTTCTTTTGGATGAGGAAACTACTCTTTCCAAAGAAATCTAAGCATTCTCACTTGATTTCCATACTTGCCATGGACCTGATGTGTGTTGCTGGCACTTCAAGAAAACTTCCTTGGGTGGGTCACGATCAAAACGACTTCCTGGTGGAATCAAGTAACCCAAGAAAAGGAAAGTTACTGATTTCTTTTCTTTTCCCTTCCTTCCTTCCTTCCTTCTTTCCTTCCTTCCTTCCTTCTTCTCTCCCTCTCTCTCTCCCTTTCTCTCTCTCTCTCTCTCTCTCTCTCTCTCTCTCTCTCTCTCTCTCTCTCTCTCACTTTGTGGTGGTGGTGGGGGTTTGAGACAGGGTTTCTCTGTGTGAACAGCCCTGGCTATCCTGAAACTCTCTCTGTAGACCAGGCTGGCCTCAAACTCACAGAGATCTACCTCTCTCTGCCTCCCAAGCACTGGGATTAAAGGTGTGCGCCACCACTGCCTGGCTGAAAAGCTGCTGATTTCTGAGTATTGTTAATCCCCCTTTTTCATTCCTGCAATGTGTAAGAATAAAAATTGGATGAGGGGCCTGGGGAGATGGCTCCGGTGATAAAGTGATTGCTCTGCATGCAAGAGGACCTAAGTACCATCCCCAGGAGCTACAGAAAAAATGGCCCAGTATGGTGGCTTGCATTTGTAATCCCAGTGTCAGCGGGGTGATTGAGGGTATCCTTGGGGTTCTCTGACCAGGGAGCCTAGCTAAATCTGTGAGTGCCAATCCATCGAGAGATCTTTATTTCCAAAACACAAGGTAGATATCTCCTGAGGTGTGACACCTGAGATGTTCCTCTGGCTTCTGAATGATATCACATCCCCTTATTGTGTGACAAGACTGTTCCTGGGGAGATGAACATTCACACTCATCTTCTTGCTCAGATAGGGAACCCACGGCAGGTCAAAGTATAGATACCACCCAAGTAAAATTTAGTGAACCAATGGGTTTTATTGGGACTGACTGCTTCCAGGAATATGAATGAGGGGTTACTTACAGAAGCAGAAGTGACTCAAAGACAGCTGCATCACCAAGGCCCACCCCAGCATGGGTGACAGCTCACAAAAGCTGGGAATGTGGAACACATCACATAGCCTACAGGAGATCATCATTTCCAGGTGCCTCAGTTCAGTTGGTTTCTGCTTCTGCCAGGCAGGTGGTCTGGTCTCAGAGTCTTCTTTGCAACTTGATTCTGCTTACTCAGCAGGGAATGGCCTAGTGATTCTGGTCAGTTTTAGGGACTTCCTGAGGCTAATTTTGTTGTTGCTGTTGTTTACTTCCCTGCTTAAGGGACTTCCCTGTGAGATGGAACGCTTTAATCAGAGAGGAGACGGCTATAAAACACTTTTGCACCCCTACATACATCTGTGCTCACCAGAGTCACACAGACAGAGACAGACAGACAGACAGACACACACTTGATGTGGGCCAAGCATGGAGGAATTCTGGAGAATGTGAGTTGCAGGCCCTCATCGGCTGCATAGTAAGTTAGAGGCCATCCTGGACTGGCTGAGACCTTGTCTCAAAAAAATGAAAAAAGAAAGAAAAGACAAGAAAACTTGGCAGGAAAAATTAAAAAAGTTGATGCCGATCTTTGCTGCCTTTTTCAACTCTTAATTTTTGTGCCTTCTTCTCTTAGAAGGAGTGCTGGCCTCTGTTGCCAACCTGGAAGTCAATGGGACCAGTGTCTTGGTCTAGGACACTTCCTTCCTCTGTATACCAGTGATACTATCTCCATGAATTGCTTCTGAGAAAGCTGCGTTGCAGAGCTTAATTGATTTAGTGAAATGATATCCAAGCCAGGTTGGGTAGTCACGACCTTGGGGGAAAAAAAAAGAAAAACTCAAAATAGTAGGAATATTCATTATAAAACAGAAGTCTGGAAAGCTGCCCATGCTCTTGGAGAAACTTCTCACCGAACAGTTCAAATCCCTGTTCAGATTTGAGTGTGTAAAATTCCACAAACTGTTTCTCTATTTCAGAGGGAAGGAGAGGGTGGGGAGAGGAAGACATGAAAACATGTAGTAGTGACCTGATTCTGCTAATAAGGAATTTATTTGTGAGGATTAGATACTTTATTAAATATCAAATCACGGACTTCCATTCAAAAAAAGAAAAGATTTCTTGGTGGGTGCATTTGGAGGGATCTAGTACCAGTTACTGCTTTTCTCTAACGGCTGGCTCCTGTGACCCTGTCCATGTGTGAACTTACTCCGCCCCTCTCCACCCCTGAATGAGTCTGAGACTATCTGTTGACCTGAGATAAAGTATCAGAGGACTTTGAAGCACAGTAAATGCTTTACCTGTTTGAGTTTCATTCTTCTTTTCTCTTTTATATTTAGTCATCTTCTAGAAGAGAGGAGAAAAACGGCTTATGTGACACTATAGAAACATTGAAATTCAGACGAGAAAACAAGCCGATGTATGATGACTGTTAAGTAATTTTCTGTTAATTGAATCATTTTCCCCATTGATTTGCATAAAAAATGGTGATTGGTTTCCATGGGGGGCAGGTGGCTTGCAGCAAAGCAAAAATCACACGGAGAAGTGTAGAATATCTTCAAGCCATTACTTAGAAGCCCAAAACGGGTGACGGGGAAGTGTGAAACCCGACAGCGAGCACACTTGTGTTTAGAAGGGAGAGGCTTGGGCACCAGGGCCTTCAACTGGACTCGGACGAATTGGAATCTTTCTATTTGTTGTAGGGGCCATATTCTCTCAATAAAGGAGGTGAGTGATGGCCGGGCGTTGGTGGCGCACACCTTTAATCCCAGCACTCGGGAGGCAGAGGCAGGCGGATCTCTGTGAGTTCGAGACCAGCCTGGACTACCAAGTGAGTTCCAGGACAGCCTCCAAAGCCACAGAGAAACCCTGTCTCGAAAAACCAAAAAAAAAAAAAGGAGGTGAGTGATACAGAAAGTCAGGGTCTGCTTGGAGATTGGCAGCTACCACATGGATGCTAGAGATTCAGGGATGGTCTATTTATTTATTTATAATTATTAATTATCCATTTGTTTGTTTGTGAGATAAGCTCTTGCCATAGCCTAGTCCGGCCTTCAGCCTCCTTTCGTATCCAGATTGTCTTTGCTTTGATCCTCCAATGGCCTTGGAAGCACTAAAATTGTAGGCATTTGCTACCATGTGTAACCACGAACAGCAGAGGTGTCCAAAAGAATTAAGGCCATGTAGGGATTTTGGAGACAGCCGAAGACGGTCAGGGACAGCAGCCTGGTTTTCTTGCCCGAAGGCAGGCGCTTTCTCTCACTCTCTCCTCCTGCCCCTCTCTTAGAGGGCATCCCAGGCTGTTCGAGGAGCCCTCCCAGGAGCTGTTTCGAGTCTCCTTGGCTACTGGCATTCACCTGCAATCCCAGAGCACTGCCCCTTCTCTGTGGCAGATCCCGATGGGGAGTCACCCACCGAAGAAAGTCGTGGAGAACGAACTCCGTGACGCAAGAGCAAACTGGGAGAGGTGGTAGGTGCGCTACCAACTGTCCAGCCGGTGGTCGGCGTCACTCCCGTGGTGGCATTCCCAGGCTACTTTGGGAAACTCCTAGCTGCTTTGTCTGTCTGTCTGTCTGTCTGTCTGTCTGTCTGTCTGTCTGTCTGTCTATCTATCTAAGGAAATACCACTCACCTTTCAAAAACAGATAACGGAATTTAGGCTCAGAAAAGTTAAAATAATTGGCCTAGGGTCCTATAGCTGAGGCTTATCCATCCGGATTCAAACTCTGGTCCATGTAAGGGAAATTCTGGGCTCCTCACATCTAAGACCACGACTCAAACATTAGCTGTATGTATCAGAATCACCTAGGGAAAGCACCTTGGTCCCAGAGTCTCCGAGTCAGCAGTTCTCGAAGCGGATGGGGTGCTGAGATGAGCTTTTCAGTGGGCTCCCTGGTGATGCTGACACTGCAGAGCCCTAGGGTAGTGGGGGTGACCCTTATCCAGGGGCCCTGGCACTTAGCCAGGCAGGGTCTATGAAATTTGCAATATTTTTCCTGCCCTTGAAGGTGTTTAGCATAGAGTAGTACAGGTGTTATGTCCGCCGCCCCCAGTCTCTGTCTCTGTCTCTGTCTCTGTCTCTGTCTCTGTCTCTGTCTCTGTCTCTGTCTTTCTCTCTCTCTGTCCCTCTCTCTCTGTTTATGTGAATGTGTGTGAGGGAGAAAGAGAGTTTCTACATAATGTATGTGTATGTACTTTAGTATGCATGGGCTCATTTTTCTGAGTATCATATGGAAAAAATATCTAAGAAAAGAGAACTATGCATGGTTTCCTGATTGAGCATAAATTTTGAGTTGATTATTTATTACTTCGTCGTGAGTTTTTTTTTTCTCTTTTAAACCAACGTTGATAAATAAATGGCCCCAGTCTCACCTTGGCATTCACAGAAGTAACGTTCGTCTTGATGAATTATTTGCTTATTCATTGAATGTGTAATTTAATTCTACAGGAATTGCGTGGCAGTTTAGCACACATTAGTGACGTACTGTCTCTTCATTTCAGGAACCCAGCATCCTTTTAATGCGGAGGGGGGCATCTGAGGGAATTAACGAGCAGCTAGGAAGAAGCCTGGTCAGACACATGTGGACTCAGTTGGCCTTGATGTGCCCTATCAGGTGCAGACACGCAGGTGTCAAACCACAGTAGATAGAGGGCAGTAGGTACCGTGGCTGTTTAAGGAGTCACGAAGAACTGAGTATGAACTCAGACCCCCATCTCTAACTCGGGAGATCATGCTGGGCCAGCTCTCAGCGTCTGCAGTCTTCATGTGAAGTGGGGATGGGGGCTTCCAATACCTGTATGACAGAGGTAAGGATTAAATGATATAATGAGTGTGTATACAATTCTGAAATGCAACTGGTTCTCAATGAGCTGTTATGATGGGTGTGGCACTAGAGTGATATGATTTACCTTAGCAACTCGTTCTCCCTCTCCCCTTCCTTCCTTCCCTCCAGGATTCATTTTCCTGTTTATTATGAAGAATGCAGATTCAGGACAGCAAGATGGAAAAGGTGCAATGGGCAGGTATGGGAGGTCTATGGAACTTCTTTCCATTCTCGAGGCATGCTATCTCTTTGGTATGGGCATGGACTCATCTGCTGAGGGATCCCGCCTGGGTCCCGTCGCTGCTTTAGCACCGAAATAACACACGAGGCACTATATTAATTATAAAGCTGTTGGCTTTGGATATGGTTTCTTATTGGCTAGTTTTGACTTAATTATTAACCTATAACTGCTAATCTGAGTATTTCCACGTCGTCTTCTCTTACCAGAGAAAGGGTCTAGACTCCTCTTGTGTCCTACATGGTGATTGACTGTGCCTCTGTTTCCCAGAATCCTCCACCTCTCCTAGTCCCCCCTGTCTTGCTTCCCTGTTGGCCAACAGTACTTTATCAGCCAGTAAGACAAACATATACACAGAAGGGCTTCCTCCATCACTCATCCCTCTGGGAGAGCCTCAGTGAGCTTTTTCTTCTAGAATGTATGCTTCTGGAGTTTGGCTGAATGGCTCACACCTGTAATCTTAGTGCTTGGGAGGGAGAAACAAGAGATTTAGGAGTTCAAGTTTGTCCTCAGCTACACAGCAAGTTGTGGGCTACACGTGACCCCAGTTCAACTCAAAGCAAACAGATGGAATCTGAGGGGTTCCATCTCTGCCTTCCCATCAACACCCTCTTCCCCAACAAGTAGTCTGCCCTCCCTTTCTCCACATGCCGGGATGTCTTTCCATTGGTGTCCTCTCGTGCCTGACTCCTCCTCACTCTTCAAGATGAACCTATACCTTCCCCCTCTACATGAAGCCTGAATGGCCTTGGTTACTTTCAGCAGAATTTAGGATGGTTTCTTAAGCCCCTTCAGTCCTTGCACTTTATCTGGAGTTGTGTACACATGTGTGACCTCCAAATGATGGAATCTCCTTGGGGAGACCTCTGAGGTCTTCATATTCATGACTGTTATCCTCTGCCAGGTGTAAGCAGTTGGTGACCTAACAAATTTACATTGCCCCAGACAAACATACTCGCTGAGAGTTTTAAGATCTTGGGGGACAATGTGTAGACTAGGGTGAGCTGGGTGGTAAGCTTAGGGGGCGGAATCTGAAGACTGTCTCATTGACACTTGTCAGACTGCTAGACACCGAGTTACTGAAATCATCTGACACTCCATCTACATGCACTGCCTAAGGTGGATTTTACTGGCAACTGGGCTTCAAAATTTGAATAGTAACAGTTTTCACGTTCATGACTTCAAGAAACTGGCATGGCATTATCCAGAGCCTTGACTATCCAAGGTCACAGTATTGCAGAGTGTCTGTGTGACACATGCCAAGCACTGAGCCAGGTGCTGGAGACACAGACACAGATGCTATGGACAGATTCAGCCCCATATTGGCTTTCTTAGAAGTCTTGAAGTGTTGCTATTGGGGCTGGAGAACCACCAAGAGCTGTGTGTCGATGGTTATAGACCTAAGACTGTAAGGAGAACAGAGACCAAACACTGTAGCAGTTTGGGCATGAACTGTAGCTGGGAGGGTGCACAGACATGTGAGGAGGCCTTTAATGGCTTTCACTCATGCAGCCATGCTTTTGGTGGCTTGTCTGATTCCTGGGTACTGAGGCCCGGTGGTTGGGCTCATACTCCAACAGGTACCTCTTTTCTAGAGGTATGGCCTATGTCAGTACAAGTTCCTCTCCTCGAGACGTGCGGAGATGATATCTGTTGCATGACTTTCTGAGGGGGTATGAATGAGCACTATTCACCTGAGACAGGACGGGAGAACAGACCACAAAAAAACGATTCCATTCAAGTCTATCTCAGTGCACCAGTGAGTTGACTGGGGTCACTCACAGGAGCACGGATGACTTCTACAGCCGTGTCGCTGAAGAGCCGTTCTAGTCAGGGTGACACAGCTCCGCTGTTGCCTTCCTGGAGCTCCACGCACACCTTGGAGGAAGCTCATGAAGGTGTCTATTGCTTATATCATCTTGCGGAGAGAACTCCAGAGTCTTACTTGTTCCTTGAGAGCTTTGCAGGTACCTCGCTCTTCAAGCCCCCGCATTTCAATCCAGGGGAAATAGATGCATAGTGGCATCCTTCTCTTGGGTGGTTGTGTCCCCTTGGATGGGCAGCTCATCATGATACTGCGAGGGGGACCTTTGGAGGATTCCACAGTGGGTGAGGTTGACTGAGGCGGGCGCTAAACATGCCAGGTAGACAGAGCTTAAGTGAGAAGTCTTTATTGGAACGGGAAAGGGAGCGGAGGGAAGAGAACAGAGGTAAAGAGACACAGAGAGAGGACAGAAGAGAAAGGGAGACAGGAAAAGTCTTGTCTGTCCCAGGGGAACAGCAGGGAAGAGAGTGGGGAAGAGATCTAAGTGGATGGGAGTCTGTCTTTTAAAGGGGTCCTTTGCACCTGCGTGAAGTCTGTGCAACCATGGAACCCTGGGATGAGCAGGGTACTGCCCGAGTGCATTCTTCCAGGTGACAGGGGCAGGCCAGCACAGTGCCTGAATCCTTAACACCGTTAACACCCAGTAATGAATGTTCGTCCTCAAGGCTGACAGGTCTTTGGGGGGGGGGTGACCGTTTGGTTTGGGGTTTCTCATGGGACCATGCAATCAGATGAGACCACAGCTGGTCTTAGTTCTCCCTCCCCCTCCCTCTTTCTCTTCCCCTCCCCTTCAAGAGCGGAGACCTGGTAGCCACTTCCACAAGTACCAATCTTGTGCTCTGGCTTGTACAGCTTTAGGCTTAAGATTGGCCAGGAAAGCTACAGTGTTGTTACTGTCCACACGGGTGGCATGGCATCGAGGGCTTTCTATGTGTTCCCTTATCTGATTCTTCTCCAACCTTGTGACGGTCCCTCCTGATTTGCAAGCCACACTGGGGAAGGCCGGAAAGATTTGAGGAACTGTGCTTAGGTAAGCTGTGATGACTTCTGTTCTGTCTGGGAAGGTGCTCCCATGGTCTTCCATCCCTGTACAATGTCAACCGGAAACCAGGGACAACAACGCCAGCAGTGACTTCTTCCTGTCACCATGGGACTCTAGGTTCAGTGGGGATGGTGAAAAAGAAGCCGCGGTTTCCTGACTCTGTGAGCCGCGCTCTGGAGGGGCGATCAGGACTGCTTTGGGTTTCTGTTCTGGACCACACAGATCCCTAACAATGTGGCTACTGAGGGCAATGGGGAAAAAAAGGATGCTGGCTATGGTAGAGAATGCAGCATTCCATCTAATTAGAAAGAGCTGGATCCTGGATGGCAGTGAGGTGAATTTTTCCACTAAAGCTTGTCTTGCTGTCAGGGACTTGTGTTAGAAATAATAGAAAAGCCCTGCTATTTTTTTCTTTAGCAGAACGAATTCAAGAGTCAAGACAGCAGTAAACAGTGTGGTGTTGGCCGGGCATGGCTTCTAAGTGGAAGAGACCCCATGGGTCTCTAAGTCCAGCACCCAGCATGTGGTATGGCTCAAGTATCACAGAGAACGATCCAACGAGCAGCTTCTGCCTCCTGTGGCTGGAAGCTGTTCCTAAAGCAGCTACTAAAAACGGTTCTGCTTGGAGCCTCCTGCGCAAACTGGGTCAGCAGGTCAATTGGGCCTTTTATATGCCAACCAGGCTGCCCGTACTTCTGTCTAGGGTCAGATCTGGGACAGAAAGAGACTCAGGCCAAAGAAATCCACTTAGAGTGTCCCCGTTAGATTCTGACTCTGTGGAGGAGCTGTTCATCATTTATAGACTGCACAATTGTGTTTTGCACAGTAACCTTATTTGGGCATCTGAATAAGCAAAGGCTAAGAGGAGAGAGCAAAAATGCATTGATTTTTTTTTCTTCTCAAATGAAAGGTAGATGGAGCTGATTTTATGTTTATGGACTCCTGGCTGGTTGTTACCCAGACATCAGGAGTTAGGATGGAATTAATTCTCTAATCTACACTAATGGTAGCATTAAAAGCAGGTTTGTTTGTTTGTGTTTTCTAAATTCGTCTTTTTTACATTTTTAATATACACTCTGCTGTAGCCTGTCATGGTACACTGGGGATAATGGTAATATTTTGCATGTATCAAATGCTGATTATGATTGGGACGGTCACTGCGCTGAAATGCATGAATTCACACCCAGTCTTTACGGCATACAAGTGCAAAAATGTACATCCAACTCCCGTTTTATAGAGGAGAAAGTTGAAGCCCAAAAAAGTTCAGTGATTGGCTGAAGTGAACCTTGTTGCCTCATCCTAATCTTTGGTGTTAGGTTTCTACAACATGAAACTGCCCAAGACACAGTTACCCAGGAAGGCTGCATTCAGGTTCCTGGTCCTATGATACTAAGCTAATTCATGCTCATTGATGCTTTTGGTCACTTTTTTTTTTTTTGGTTTTATGAGACAGGGTTTCTCTGTATTGTTTTGGAGGCTGTCGGTCAAGCCTGGCCTCGAACTCACAGAGATCCGCCTGCCTCTGCCTCCCGAGTGCTGGGATTAAAGGTGTGCACCACCACTGCCCGGCTGCTTTTGGTCACTTTTGAGTTAATCTATTTAAGCAGTAATAAATATAACTGAGATTCTTTAGGCTGGAATGCTGGATGGGTATACTGGAGACGGTAATCAGGAAAGACTTCCTGGAGGTGGCAGGGAGAGACAGAGAGAGACACAGAAAGAGACAGAGAGGGAGAGGGAGGCAGGAGAGTCTTGAGTGGTAGAACTTTCTAGGTTAAAGGAAGAATATACTCAAAGGTTTGGAGACTGCCCAGCGGGGCATAGAAAACTTAGCCCCTCCTGGGGCGAAGGAAGCAATGAAGTCAGTGAGGCAGTTGATCCCAGAGAGGCTGCTGTGGGTCACTGTTGCCATGACCACACACTTCAGTGGAGAAGAAGACTCCCTTGAATACCCCAAAAATGAGAAAACAGAAATTGGTGAAGGAAAATGATTTGACTTACAGTTTGGTCAAATGAAAACAAAGATTGGAGTCTATCTTGTCCCCTAGCATGCCTGTGACCATCTTACAAAGGCCAGGTCGTAAGTCATAGGCA